TCACAAGGTAGTTGAGGGAATATTAATGAAAGTCCTTTGGAACGTTACTGTGTGGAAGAGACATGGAAGGGTTTCTGGCCCTGGTAAAATCAGCTGCTTGATCTGACACTGGCCATATCACCTGTATTAAAAGTGGTTTGGATTTACCTGCCTAAAAATGTTTGTTTTGTAAAACTTAGTGCAACTCATAAAGTATTTAAGGTTAATGTGGTTAACGATTAGGATGAGGGAAATTATAGAAGCAGAACAGGAGCTCACCATCTTTTTGGACGGGAGACCACACCTGACGGTGCTCATGGCTTAGTCCCCGCTCTGTGCTCAGCAATCGCACCTGGCAGGTCCTGGGAAGCTTATCCAGGTCGGCCAAGAATAAAGCCAGTTTCTTACTCACTGTACTCTTTCTCTAGCCCCAGTCCACATCAAGGGAAAGATGTAATTGCAGAGCTGTGACATGCAGAGAAATTATCTGAGAAGCGAATTCAGTTGGGAAAGTACAAGCCCTGAAGAGCCCAGAGCAGCTGGTCATGATCAGATTCTCCATCTTTCTGTCAAATGTAATCGTATCCGACTTGGCAGGGTATTTATTGCTAAAGTCGAAGGGCCAGATTTTACACTAAACATATTTACACATTTACATTTGTGTCCCTATAAACACACCATGTTTCACTGGCCGTGACACCAAAAGCATTCGCCGACAGAAAGCATGTGCCTAATTACAAAATCAGAGGGCAAGTGGCATCTAAGTGTGCACGCACGCCTGTGTGTGTGCGTGCGTGCCTGCGACCCAGCTGCACCACCAGGAACCCCACGGAGATGAGAAAAGGGACTGCCAGTGCTGGGCTCACACGTTCTGTGCACTGCAGGCCCGGTCTGTCCAGTGGTGTTTCATAAAGGGCCAGGGCCCCTGCGATCTCCATTAGTCCCTTGCTAACCACCCCTCACCACCACCCCCCACACACACACCACCACCACCACCACCACCACCAAATGAATCCAGAGAGACAAGGGTGGTTCCTGGGCAGAGTTTCCTTCTGGATTGAGTTTGATGCTAATAGGACCTTTCAGTTGCTCCCAAATTACCTTCCTGTCAGTAATAAAAACAGGTGTGAGCTAAATGTACAGCCAGTGCTGCAGTTTTAAGACTGAAACGAGTGTGTCTCATTCCTGGCTGGGGCTAGTAAGATCAACTCCCTGCCCCTCAGTGGCACTTGTAATAACACCGTTAGCTGCTCCAAGCTTGGTCCTTGGTCAAGCAAGGAAATCAGAGCCACCGGAGCCTGAGAGAGAAAAACAAAAACAGGCACAGTCTCACCAGGGCCTCGACAGCCTTTAATAAATGACACAGGCTGGTATCCCATCAAAATAATCACCTTCCAGCAGAATAACCACCTCCCCCAGCTCTCCCAGAGGACATACTGCAGGACGCATTGGTGAGTTTAAACACAAAACTGAACCCAAAAAAAATGGAGATGAGCAGAAAAAAATTTCCCCAGATGGATGCTTACACGTTGACTGCAAGAATTCCCATAATAGATGTAGGTAGTGTTTCCGTCTCAGTACCAGCAAATTTGGGCAGGAAGGGCCAATGGACAGAGATAAGGGTTAAATGGACTAAGCAAAACAAGCACAGGCAGCTCCCAAAGTTTTCCTGTTCCCTCTCCAATACCTTTTAATTTTCTCTTAAGAAGAGAGGTACCTCTTAAATAAATGTACAGTGTGAAAATAGAAGGAAAAGTTGTTTTGAAGCAGAAGAGCTAGATTCTGTTTTTAAATAAATAAAATAATTACTCAGGAAAGTTGTTTTGAAGCAGAAGAGCTAGATTCTGTTTTTAAATAAATAATTACTCAGTGGAGAAAAAAAAAAGAAGCAGAAATCTACCCAGAACCGATGTGGGGTCGTGACACCCTGTGTGGTACACGGAGCAGCTCCATCCATCAGGGCGGTGCTGCCCTGGCCTTGGAGAGCTCCGGCTGCACCGAGCAGCAGATTAAACCTCCGCACAACAGAGCCCTGAATGGAGAGGTTCCTTTTTGTGTGGTCCTGCTCTGGGAGCGGCCTGAGCCATTAGCCTGATAGATCCCTCTCCCTATTAACTGCAAGTCCCTCCCGACTGTGCCCTCGCCCTCAGCGTGCTAGTTTGTCTCCGGGGCTCTCTGGGGGCGTTTGATGAGCAGAGAAACAAGGAGAAGGGGAGAAAAGCTCCGGGTTAATGAGTTGTAGCAAATCCACACTTTGTAGTTGGCAGGAGGAGAGCTGGTGGCCAATGTTTGTCCAACGGGTTTATTTTTCAAGACCTAGCCTATTGAGGAAGGCTTGTTTAAGCAGGCCTGTCCTTACAAACATACAAACATCCTTCTGTTGGCCTTCAAAGAAAAGGGGGCCAGAGCTAGATTTGCATGCCAATGAGGAGCCCCGGAGGAGCCGGCCTGGCCCATCAAAGGCCAGGGAGTCCAGCGCCCGGAGGCCTTTGTTCCAGCACCTGCTGGACTGCAGCCTAACGGGGCGCACTCCTGGCTTGAGGGGTCCCAGGCCCAGAGCCCAGTACTGGCTGGCCCAAGGCCCTGACCGAGTGACCCACAGCCCCCACTTCTCACAGCCCTGACATCACCCAGCCCATGGCCCCTCACCAAGCAAGATCACCTTATGGCTAGGCCCACAGGGCTAGCAAAACTGACAGCTATAACCCCAAACTGGGAGAGTGAGGAACTCAACTCGCAGGACCTGAGAGCAGAGCTCCAAGGCTCTCTGATGCCGTGGCACCTGATAGGCATGCCCCCCACTCACCCAGCTCCAGACCAGAGTCAGGACGCCTGTGTGGGATTGACCTGGGCCACCTTGCTAGTCTCTTAAAGGCACTGACAGCCTGGAAGATGGAGGAGCCGGACCCAGCACTTTTTGAAACATGCAGAAATCTGAACATTGATGACCGGGGCTGGCCTATTTGGGGGCAACTAACATGAAGTAAATAAGAGTAACGATGTTGCCGGATTATTCCCTCTACTGGCTCTCTTATAATTACTTTCAGATCTCTGCATTATGGATGCTCACTCAGAGGCAGGCGAAGAGTAACAGTCACATTTGCACCTAAGATTTTGTTCTAATTGCATTTTCAATTTGTATCTATCTATTTAGTGGCCAATTGAGGAGCCAAGTATTTACTTTGAACTCTTATTTAATCTCTCCCAAACAGTTCACAGGAAAAAAAAAAACCCAGAATTTACTTTGAGGCTGTCACCTTTTTCCTCCCTAAAAGATAGGACGTGAAAAGTGAATGTCACTGCCTAATACTGCTAAAAACTTCTTTAATCTGCTGGGTTGAATCTGCAAATACAGCTGCTGCAATATCTGGAAAATGTTAATAAACAGACTTAACCTCTATTAAGCTTTTAAGCCAGTGTTTCACAATCTTTTTCCAACCATGGGCTCCTCCCAACCTTGTTTCCTTCCTGTGGTCCCCTCTCTTCTACCGGTTGACCCCCTACACTCATGTTGTTGCCCCCATTTATACGATTTCCACCTGTGGCCCTTTTGGAATATCCTGGAAGTTTGGCCATCGGTTGAGAATTGCTACATATTACTATGTCATGGTTTTATTTGGAGTCCACAATTACATCTGTAATCAAAACTAGTTTTACGACTTTTTAAAAAATTGCCCACTTCTAGTTCATCAAAAAATTTAATTTTGGGGAAAAGTATTCTATATCACCTAAGTTGCATAATTAGTTTAATAAGCACATGATGCCTTTTCTGTTCTTTTTAAAAAGCAAATTCAACCCCCAATTGAAACTCTTACTCTAATTTATTCATTTAGACTAAAATTAGAATGTTAAGGTTAGCTTTTAGGATAAAGACTTTACATAATATTAGAATCGCTTCTGTGGAGAAAATAGTGGCTTTCAATTTCAGAGCTTTCAAATACAACTAACTGTATGTGTAAATTATTTTCTCATTTGGGGCTTTAAGCCTATTTATCTGATGATCATCTCTGTTGAAAACTTTTCTATTAATTTCAAGCAAGTTACCAGAACTATTTGCTGTGTTGCTTCTATCCTAGTAAAATATTATGAAAGAAGATTTTTAGTGATACACTATTGTGCTCAATCGTGTGTGGAAATGAAATCAAGTGAGAGGCTCAAAAATAAAAGTTCTATTATCTTAGAACTACTATGGCTTCAATTTTAAACAGCCTTAAGGCTCTTGGATATGGAGTAGAAGAGATTTGAAAACGTATACCAAAGTAACTTCATTTATTGGTAGTCAGTTAAAAATAATTTCTGGTCTCCTGCAATGGTTTTGGCTTCAGAAAGCATAACTGAAAAAACATGGCACGAAGCTTTTGTTAAATTCTCTTTGAAAATAATATTAGGTCTGTCCTATCGCAGGCTTCTACTCATTTCACATAGAAACATTAACAGGAAAGAACATAAACTAAGAAGGGGCACTGAATCCAATTATTTTGGTGGATTTTCTTTGAAAATTAAGCATTTTATTTCTGAAAAAGTGTAAAAATCTTACATTATAATCGTACAACAGTTCGCCAGTAAAATTTACAATACTCCTGTAAAGAATACGCAGTAAGTACAAAATTAAAATTCCGCGTGTCTATTATGATACAAAACACAGGTTAAAATAAGAAAGGATAATCTGAACTTTTTTTTCCTTGTTGTAAACATTTTAAATCATTTTTTCCTTCTCACGAAAAAGTACACCCGACAAATGTCCTCAAAAAGGATCGCTTGGCTGGCGTTCTTCGGGACCTTTTCTACTTTTGTTTTCTTCTTCGTTTGAACCTTTTGAAGTCTTTAACGCCTGAACCTGAGAATCTCTAGACCTCGAAAAGGGCTTAGATTTGTTGTTGCTGTTCAATTTCCTCCAAGTCAAGGAAGCCCCCGATGCCCGGGCAGGGCAGACCCCAGAACGCACGCTCGCACCTTCTTCCTCCCCAGGAGGGCCGGGGCCGCCGCCTACGGCGACTCCGCATGAATACTGTCACCCAACCCCAAAGCGCGCCCGGGCGGTCGCCCAACTGTCTCCGGGGGCCACTCGCGGCGGTGAGGGGGTGGGAGAAAAGGACCCGCGGAGGGGGAGCGGCTTGCGGGGCCCGCGCCGGGCGCAGCCCCGACCCGCCCAGGTGGGCCGAGGAGCCGGGACGCCTACCTTCTCCTGGGCCCGCGCGCTCGGGGCGCGCCGTTAACAATTGGAAATCCGGGCGGTAAAGGTCTCCACGCTGGACAGGGCGGCCCCGGGGGGCAGCGTCCCTAGGGCGGCGGACGAGGACACGGACGAGGCGGCGGCCGCGGCGGCGGCCACGAGCGAGCGGGTGAGCGCGGCGGCGGGGCCGGCGGCCGCCTGAGCCGCGCAGCCCCCTCCGGAGCCCGGAGCGGCCGGGGCGGCGGCGGCGGCGGCGGGCGAGGGCGCGGGCGAGGCCTGCGCGGCGGCGGCGGCGGCGGCGGCGGCGGCGGCCGCGGGGCCCAGGCTGCCCCCGATGATGCTCTCGATGGAGAAGGGCGAGCGCGCCAGAGCCGCGGCGCCCGGGCCGGCCGCCTTGGCCGCGGAGGCCTGCAGGGGGCCGGGCAGGGCGGCGCCGAGCGGGTGCGGCCGGTAGCCGAAGGCGGTCCGGGCCAGCTCGGCGGCCGCGCCGTGCGGCGGGGGCGGCGGCGGCGGCGGCGGGGGCGGCGGGGCCGGCGCGGGCGGCGAGTGCGGGTGGAAGGCGGCGGCGGCGGCGGCGGCCGCGGCGGCGGCGAAGAGGGCCGAGGGCGGCGCGTAGGGCGGCAGCTGCAGGCCGTAGCCGCAGCCGTAGGGGCCGTAGCCGTAGGCGTGCGGGGGTGGCGGGGGCACCGGCGGGAAGAGCGCGGCGGCGGCGGCGGCGGCGGCGGCGGCCGAGGCCGGGTCCGCCGCGCCCCCCGCGCCCCCCGCGCCGCGCAGCAGCAGCGACTCGGCCGCCGCCGCGTTGGGCGGGAGCAGCGGCTGCCGCTTGAAGCGCTTCCTCCGCCGCAGGAAGCTGCCGTTGTCGAACATGTCGGCGGACTCGGGGTCCAGCGTCCAGTAGTTGCCCTTGCCGGGGTTGCCGGGCTCGCGGGGGATCTTGACGAAGCAGTCGTTGAGCGAGAGGTTGTGGCGGATGCTGTTCTGCCAGGCGGGGAACTTCTCCCGGTAGTAGGGGAAGCGGCCGCTGATGAACTCGCAGATCTCGCTCAGCGTCAGCCGCTTCTTGGGGCTCTGCAGGATGGCCATGGTGATGAGCGCGATGTACGAGTAGGGCGGCTTCACCAGCGGGTTCTTGGCGCCGCCGCCCGCGCCGCCGCCGCCGCCGCCCGCGCCGCCGCCGCCGCTCCCGCCGCCGCCGCCCCCGCCGCCGCCGCCGCCGCAGCCCGCGCCGCCCGCGCCGCCGACCCCGACTCCGGCCGCCGGGGCCGGGCCCGGGGGCGCCGGGGAGCCCGCGGCGCGCGGGGCCAGCAGGATGTCATCGTCGTCCTCGTCCTCCTCCAGATCCTCCAGCTCGTCCTCCCCGGCGTACGAGCGCCGCCGCCGCCGCCGCCGCCGCCGCTGCCGCGCGGGGCCACCCGGCCGGGGGCTGCCCTCGTCGTCGTCGTCCTCCTCGTCGTCGTCGTCGTCGTCCTCGCCCTCCCCCACCACGTCGATGTCTGTCTCCTCGGCGAGGCCCGAGGCATCGGACATCTCCGTGCTCAGGGTCATAGCTGGGGCGCGGCGGCGGCGGCGGCGCGGCGGTGCATAGGGGCGCGGGGCTCCGGGCTCCCGCCGCGCCCCGGTTCAGGTCCCCGGCGGCGGCGGCGGCGGCGGCGCTGGGCCGGGCGCGGGGGCGCCACGCTGGGTGGGGGGCGCCGCGGCTGCTCCGAGCTGCCCGTTACACACACGCGCACACACACACACACACACACACACACACACACACACACACCGTCCACGCCCCCCGCGGCACGGCTTTGCGGGGTGCGCGCGGCGACTTTGTAACTCCGGCTGCGAGCCCCCGGGCCCGGGCGGGGGCACCTAACCAGCCCCGAGCGCAGCCCGCCGGGCCCCGTGGAGCAGGGGGGTGGTGGCGGAGCCCCGGGTGTGCGGGTGCAAGTGTCGGGGCCCCGGGAGAGTGCGGGACAGGGGCAGAGCACGGGCCCGAGCTCCGCGAGGCGAGGGCTGAGTCCGGGAGGGGGCGGATCTTCCCGCGGCTTATAGCTGGAGGAGCCTTGTCACATGGTGTGCGCGTCAGCGCGCTGCCGCCGAGGGAAGGGACCGAAAGCCCAGGAAGGGGACCCCGCTCCGGAGAGAAAGTTCGCCCGCAGGAGGGGGCCGCGACCGACACCCGCCGGGCGGAGAAAGGACCCCCGCGGGTCCCTGCCTGAGAGCCTGGGCTCCGGATGACGCGCCGCTCAGGCCTCACGGCGCTGGCTGCACCCAGGGCGGGCAGTAGCAGTTCCCAGCCCCGAGCTCATCAATCCCAACCTCAGCAGCTCGCCCGAGACTCGACGATCTGAGCACTTGAGGGCCTTCAGAAGACAGGCAATCCGGAGAAGAGACACCCCCCCTGCTCCGCCCAACCCGCCCCCCTTGGTCGGTGGTCTGTGGGGTTAGCCCACCCCCCTCCCCATTGGATGAGTGGCTCCGCGTCAGATTTTGATGAGACAACCCCCCTCGCAGTTTAAGAACAGTAATCGTTTATTGACCTCTTACCCTGTCCTTTTCGCTTCTTTACCCGAAACGTTTGTTTTCCGCCATCTGTTAATAAAAATGAGTTTAGGCTGGCGTTTTAATCACTTATCTGCAATTGAGGGGTCTAGAAAGTTGACAACTAAACCAAGACTCTAATGAGAGGATCTAGCAAATTTCGTGGGAACAAAGTGTGTAATTGAATACAGAAAAGAAAGGCAACTTTAGTGAAAACTCCAATAACCCCTCCCCCCCCAAAAAAAAACCGCACCAAGGAATGGCTCAAAAAGTTCTTTCCTAACTGGGAAAATTAGAACCATAGTTCCCCGCAAGAGGAATATTTTAATCAGCACTTCATAGCAATCTCAGGATGTGAAATTACTATAACGTATTACATAACAAATCACTACTCTGGTGGGCTTAATAATAGAAGTTACTATGATCAATAAAACCTTTCAGACAATCTTTGTAAAAAAAGGTGACGTTTTTAAAAAATTCACTCCATATTTTCAATAGAAGCTGGTGAAAGGGAACGAACCACATCTTTACATTCGTGTCTATTCCTAGTATCGCACATCTTGATTTTCATTGCAGTCTGAAACTTACAAAATGTTAATGCGATGTTTCCATGAAAAGAACCACAAGGATTCAAGTCCTGTTCCACCCGCTTTTCTTTTCAGGTCAAAAGGCAACGGAAAAAATTAAAATGCATTATTTCAAGTATACCTGTCTTTGTGAAGGACTCAGATGAATTATTTTGGCAAGCCTAGGATTTCACATAGCCATGCCTTTTGAATCTTTGTCTTTAAATGTTTCTATTTCGAAGTAGGGACCTGACCATGAATGTTTAGTGTTCTGATTAAAATGACCATTTGACCAAGACTGAGAGGAGAAAATCAATGGCTTTCTTGTAAAGAGAATCATCAGCTGCCCTGTGGAGGTCATGTTATTGATCAAGCAGTCTCACGTTTTAAAAAGTTTTATTATTCCCCTTATCAATCACAGAGTTTTAAAAATAAACTGCTACTCCATCTAAGGCTTCTTTTTAAATCTAGTTTTTGTTGCTAAGGACGGCTATCAACCAATTATACTTAGCAATGACCCATAAAGTTCATCATAGATCTTTCAAAGATCTATGAGAACGCCTCCAACTTCTAAATAATTTTTCATTGACTTTCATTTGATATATGGCTGAGCCATTTAATTAACCTGAGACGACATTAATCAGCACTATTAATCAGGCATTACATCGCTTTGTTGATGCAGCCAGGCATCCTTAACAAGGAGTGCACTTCTACATTGCAAAGTTTAAGTTTTATAAGTACTCGGTCGATATCTAAATAAACACCATGGTTTTCGCTGAACTGAGGGTTGGTGTGCAGCGAGGTATTTCAAGATGAAACGGAGAGGAAGACTTTGTTTGCAGACCATTAGTTACTTGTGCCGATCAGTTACGGCGGTCATGCGGGTGTTACCAGCGCCCTGAACTTGTCTGGCCCAGAGCGGGGAGATTGACTTTGTGTTGCGTTTTGTAACTTTGCCTGCAGGTCTTCCCCTCCCACCCCCACCCCAAAGGGGGTTAAAGGGCGCGTCCCTTGAAACATTTGCAAAACGTGGCAAATTCTTTTCTGGCAAACTAGGGAGGGGGAAGGGGGGTCGGGATTTATTGAAGGTCTTCGCGGAACATCAGCGCAGGAGCACCGCTGCGGGTATAGCGTGTGTTGGAGAGATTTGGGTGATCTTGACTTACTAAAAAAGTCTCATCACTTTTGGACATCGCGCTTGCATCGCGTCCCGGTTAAACGACACGCACTTGTAGGAGACGTTTCGCTCCGAACTGGTGAAATTCCCCGGGCGCCGAAATCCCAGCTCTGCCTTGTGCCACCCTACCCTGAGCTCTGACACAGCTCTCTGCCAAGGCTGCGAAGCCTCCACTCGCACGACCTCCAGGCTGTCCCAGCGACAGGACAGCTTTCCGCCCGGCGGGTCGGGGACCCCCGCGGCTGCCCGGTGGCCGCTCGCCCAGCCCGTGGGACGCGGGCCGGGCCGGGGTGGGGCGCGGCGCGGGCGCGGGGCAGGGCTGCCCCCTGGCGGCGGCGCGGCGCCTGCACGTCTCATCGCTAAGCGGCTTCCCGAGCTCCGTGAGCCGCCAGCGTGGTGCGAGTGTGGCCAGTGGGTTCTCGGAGTCCTCTGGCACTGGGCTTCAGGAGGCTCTTTTGTTCGGGGTGTGGAGTTTTGGGTCTTTTATTCCCTTCCTCCCTTGAGATCTCAACTCTCCTCCTCTAGCGCGGGGACATTCCCGAGGATTGCTGGCGACGTTTGTCCCGCGGGCGACTTGGAAGCCCTGGCAGTCCCCGGGGTGCTCGCTAGGGATTTCGGGGCTCGGGGGAACCGCGGTGACGGGGGCTGCGCTACGGTCTCTGAGCCCCTAGCGAGAGCGCCCCGTGAGGACCAGGGGCCCAGTTCGCGGAGACTTGGGGGGAGTCCTCCCAGAGGCGCACACCAAGACTATCTCTGCACCTCCAGCGCCACCGGAGATTTGACCTTTGGACGTGCGTCTCGGCGTCTTGAAGCAGCATTCCGTGAGCCTGTACTGAAGTATTACTTCCAAATTGGCACACAGGGTTCCGGAGAAATTGTATTTTGGGGTGGGGGTGGGGGGAGTGGCACACCTGACTGTGCTCATGGATTACTCCAGACTGCGCTCAGGGATCACTTCTGATGGGGCTCGGGGAACCCTATAGGATGCTGCACGCAAAAGCACACGCCCTACCCGCTGCACGATGCTCCAGCCCCACCCCCGGGAATAAATGGAGCGCCCAGTGTGGCGGTGCTCTGTGATGCGAGCGCTGGAGTGCTCGGTGGCTGTGGGGTGGTTTGGGTGTGAAGCGCTGCCTGGTTGCCACAGAAGGCCAGGACGCTATTTCTGGTTCACCGTGCTTCCCCCCCCCCCCCCCCCCACCAACCCACCCACCCAATCGGGTGTGAAAGGTGGATTGAAAAACGCTCTTTAAGATGTCCATACAGCTCAGAGACGGTGACAGTGAATCGGCTATCAGCAGGATCAATATCCACAACTCTTCCATCACCCCAAGCAGCAATGGGGCGCACAATAAAGGACGCTTCCTTCGGTCCCCCGGTCCCCCGGGCACCCTCCTGGCTTACTTCACTTAGCATAAAGTCCTCAAAGTTCACCCTGGTGGCAGCATGGGTCATAATTCCATTTCTTTTTAAAGGTTGGGTAATATTTCAATGTACAGACCACATTTTTTGTTTGTTTGGGGGTGCCACACCGGTGGTGTTCATGGCTTACTCCTGTTGAGGCTCATATGAGGTCCCAGAGATTGAACCCAGATCAGCCCCTTGCAAGCCAAGCACGTTACCGGCTGTACTGTCACCCCAGCCCCTATACACCACATTTTATTAAACCACACTTGAAGTTCATGAACATTTGGGTTGCTTCTGGATTTTGATTTAGGGGTCATACTCAGCTGTGCTCAGGGATTACTCTTGGCTTTCTGCTCAGCAATCACTCCTCTGATGGTGCTCGGGAGCAAATGCACTGCCTGATATTGAAGAGAGGGAGGGGTGCAGAGGTACAAGGGAATTACCTTGCCTGCTGTATTCTCTATGTGACCTTCTGGTTTGGTTTTGAACTTCCACTGATGTAATTACTTGTAATAAACTGAAGTAGCAGGAGGTGGGTAATGGTTAGCTAGTTCATTTTTCCTTTTTTCCACCCCAGAAAGTCTCAGAGAAGGCTTGTTGTCCTCACAGAGTGCACACACAGCGAATTCAGGTGCTGATTTCTTTCCATGACCTTCTGCATTTGTACCCTCAACTTAATCCCAAATTTGAACTTTCAGACCCAGAATCCGCACTTACGGAAGAAAATACTTTCATAAAAGTAGTTCCCCACCGGAACTAGTTTCAGGCACAGCTGTGATCACCCTCTTATGCACATGGGGTACATTCTTTCTCATGCCTTCTCACCTATCCTAATCCTTGCCAGCTCAAAGGGACTGTATATTTGCCCACAATGGTCATTCATGGATAAGGCCCAAGATTTGATTTCTGGTACTGGAAAAAAAAAAACCCTCCCCTCTGCTGTACTGAGCCTGCAAACTCCTGGGGTGTAAGGTTACCTGCCAGGAGGGTTGGAGCTATTTCTTGGGTGTCATTAAGCTAAATTCTTCAAGATCACCTTACCTTGTAATGTGGGGACCCTGATGGCAGAGGAGACTGAAGGGGGATAGTAGCCAGTATGATGGCAGTCATGGCAGTCTAGAACCTTCTATCACCAGGCAGGCCACTCCGAACACAGATCATGCTGGGCTTTCCCCACCCCCATTCCCCTTCAGCACTAATTAGGTCAGTTGGTTTACAAATAACTGAAAAGGATATATTACTGGCTGACAGTGGTTGGTACCATGGTCAACTTGGAAATTCTGTGGACAAAAAGACCTAATATGAATTC